AACGGCTGGAAATATTTTGAACAATAATCGAGTTTATTCCCTGCGACCAGCCACGGCTAAAATAATAAATCTTACAGCTAATATTAAATAAAATAATTAGAAAGCAACAATAAACAGGAAAACTAATAACACGGTCGTTTGCTCCTGGCCGGCGACTTCCTTCAGAAGGACTCCTCCTGAACCTTCGGCTGTGACCTTGAACGTGGAAATCGCGCGAAAACGGTACGGCGATCCGGGAGTGACGACAGAAAAAAAAACCGGTGACGGTGGTACGGTTTCTCGCTGGGGGGCGACGATTCAAAAAAACTGGTACTTAAACCGGCAGACGACCCTAAAAGGTACTTACTGTGATCGGAGCGTCAAACTCAAGGTGAAAGAAGGAAAAAAACTTTTCAAAAGCAGCCACAGCATGAATTCTGGATAGATTTAAGTGTTTCCGTGCATTCAGGTTCAATTCGTCGTAAATATAAATGGAGTAACTCGTTAGAAACTAAGCTACGAATTATTAAAATATTTATTCTTTATTTTACCAGATAACTGGATTACGTGAAACCGTTGTTAGTGAAATTATACAGATGTCCCATAAAATTGGGGCACCACTCAAATTTGGTTGAGTTTTTCTGTTTCATTTTTTATTATATGGCGCACATGCTTTTCAGTGGGCATTTTATTATCGACTTACTAGTAGTAACTAATATTTTAAAGATGTTAAAATATATTGTTTCTTTATTATACCAAGAGTGCCAAAAAACACAATCAACGACAGACATGGAATTTTGAAAATTTGTCTATGCTAGTTGCGTTTTTAACGCAAACTTTCAAACTGACGGTAGGCTACTAAGATGAAAATTCTAACAAATCTTCAAACATCAGTGGCTGACTTTGATCGTATTTTTTATTGCCCTCTCGATATAATAGTATCATAATAAATCCAACAAAAAATCCTTAAATAAACTATCACAAAATTTTATTAGCAGGTCTGAAATAGTTTAGCTGATGAAATTAGCCATATAATGTCTGTGACATATTTTAAATGGAAGTTTTCGGCTTTTTATCACACATATTTTAAAAAAGTATAAGAACTATTATCGTACAAAATTTGAAAAATCTTTATCACCTTGCATATATTAGAGAAATCTGTACAGACAAAAGTCAGTAAACCAAAAATAAGACGCGTTTATTTCAAATGATTCACTAGACTTGGTGTAAAATCTTACTTGATCAGAAAAATCATACTCTCACTAACTTGTCTTCACGGCTTACTGTGATGCCAGACTGCCACTATCGATTACTTACTGCTTCCTACTTTGCAAAACACTCATTAACCGTTTCCAGTATTGTTCAAAACAACACCCTCGCAATCATCGTAAAGGTCAATTTTCAAACAAAAATGTTACGGATTACATTTCAAAACGAAATCACCAGTGAATACACAGTGAATTTCTACAATTTTAATGTTAATCAGGAAATTAACAGCAATCCAAAAAATTACCACATCTCACTGCAGTTGTAGCAGATCCTATTAAAATATGTGCATCCCACATAAGTACCCTGAATACCAGAATCATTTATGGACACGTTGTCTATAAGGAATTATACAGGGTGATTTCGAAATATATACAATAATTGTAACCAGGGCATCACGTACCGTAGTAATGTGGAAATACAGAAAAAACAAATCAAAAGTCGAATGGGGAAAAACCCCATGAACTACCCTCGATACGAAGTCACTGATCCGCAGGAGGTGGAAAAATATTCGAATAAAAACGATGTAAACACTTTCAGTTTCAATTTAAAGAAAAACCGACTTTTTTCTGCTTATCATTCGTTCATTCATGCATTCCTTCATCGTTAAAGGTCAGTGCGAAAGATTATTCGCTATAGAAACAAATGGTGGTTCTGAAAAGGACCGATTTTTGGTAATGCTTTATGGTGATCGACTTTTGATTCTGACGAATGTTTGGTCCTTGCCATAACGATTTTACATTGTTTATTAGAACAAAAATAAGAGCAACTTATAATGCGACTACCTTTTTACAAGAAATGTTGAAAATGTTGTCCTTGACTAGCAAAACAGGCTTCAGAACGTCGCAACATGAATTGTTTGTTGATAGGTAAAAAACCACCATCATTGCGAGTGAAACCTGCTTCCTCCGTAAACACAGTGCATTTTCAAAAATTAGGGCGTTCACGACACTGTTGAAACAATCATTTGCAGTAAATTACAAAACGTGAATAATCAGCGAGCTCCAAACCTTGCACTTTTTGAACATGGTATGGATGGGGCCTTGTTCTTTTAATGTACAAACTGTGGAACTCCAACTTCAGCTGCAAGTCGGCAAGTGCTGATGTTGGGCTCTTCTTCGTCGCGTTCCAAAATTTGTTCTTCAGCTTGCAGTGTTCGTTCTGTCCTATCAACGCCACGATCGTGAGTTTGGGGTTGAAGGTACCATAATCTCGGAGATGCTGTACCACTGATACAAATGTTCGCGCACACCATATCGACACACTCTGAATAAGAAAAATTCGATAACAAAAAAATTAGGACAACTCCAGAATTTGATTTTAAATTTACTTTAGGAACACATTTTTACTTGAAACACATTTATTTTACACTTACAACCACGGTAGATAACAGGTGTTGTATTTTTAGGTCTGTTAAATTAATTTCAAAGAATCTACATAATATTTTAAGCACTAGTGATGACACGAATGCACTAATACCACTGACGCGTCATTAATTGACTAAACACCAAATTTATATTTTTTTTTTCAAATCGGATTGTTCATAGGGCGTGCATTTTTAGTGTGGAAAATTGAAGTGATAGCATATAGTCTTTAATATATTTTAAAATTGTATACCTTGTCAAAACAGCCAATCACTATAAAGCCACCCCATAATCAGAGTTTAGTTAAACTGTCACCTATGCGACCATTTGTTACTTGAAAAGAGATGAACATTTTAGTGCGTGGTAATTCAGGAGCGTCGCATTTGAATTCCAACCACGGATCGTGCAAAGCCCACAACCTCGACGAAGATTTGTGTCTCGATTTGTAAAAACAGCAGTTGTGTCCCACACATTTAATTGTGATCGATTAGTTCATTTGTGTCGTTGGCGTCACGCCACCCGACGGCTCTAACGCATACTAAACAGGAAAGGGCTTGGGTCCGGGCCGCTTTGGGGCCGTGCCGCCGCCGCCGCCGCCGCTCCTAATGACGCTGATGGAACGATGGTTTCAATACCATAATGGAGTTGTATTGGTTGCACTCGCTTGCCCCGACATCTATATCTATTATTGCCTTGAATTAACGGGGAACTTGGAGGTTAAATGCATAATTGCCGTAGACAACTGTGCCACAAAAGCTCACTAAACACCGCATGCTTCCAGGATAATGAGGATAAACGCCTCTAGCAGCACTCATTGTCCCGGTAAATATAACGGCATGAAATGGATTGTTTTCACGGATCATCCCGTTGAGAGTACTTTATTTTTATGAAAGTCACTTGCTTTAGTGCAGATACTCTCCGTGAAATGTCATAATTTTTCGTTATGGAACTTTGTCACGGTATGCATTAAAATATTTGGTATGGATATTTCAACCAATGTCAAGGTTACTGAACTCCGCTGAGTACGTCTATTTAGTTTTTAGCAATTTGTCTGTTCAGCTCTATTCTGAGTAATTATTATATACGCCAAATTTCAGCTCATCTGGGTAGTAATGGTAGTGATAAGCAGTAATAAGAGTGAATTTTTCAAGAAAATGCAACACCTTTACTTTAATAAAGGTTGAAAATCGTCTTCTTTATAAGGTTTTCTCTCTCGCTTAGAACATTTTTAGGATTACATATCCCACATCCAAGATAATTCCAAATTTTTATTAAAGTCAAGATGTCGTATGTTCATATTCTTGCTTCATATTTTTACTTCCCGGGCGTTAGCTAAGGAAGTATTGTAATCGAGTTCATTGTGCGACTGTCCGCGACTGACTTTTAGTCGACTAATAAAAATCTCCAAACTACTAGATCGATTGATAACGTCATGTTACAGTTTTGCCGGATAAATGTTATTTAAATTTTCTAAAATAACATATTCTTGTAGGTGTGGTTTATCGATCCGTCTTGATTTTTTACCCTAGACATGCAGAATTTTGGAAAAAATCTAAACTGTGTAACAACATTTTACAACTTAACTTTGAAACTGCAAAACCGAATCTTCGAAAATCTTCAAAACGTTTTACTGTTATCAGGAACACGGTAAATCGTTAATCAAAATGTACTAGTTTACGGCACCCCTAAAGATTGATGACGTCAACTTAACCTCCATGATAGCCGTTGCATGGCAGTCGCACCGAATATATATTTATTGTGCTTTTGAATTATCTTTGCTTTGCTATTTTATGAACCACAGTGAATATTTTTACTATTTCGTTCGATTTTATTTATTGTGTTACGTCGCGTCGACTAAATAGCTCACATAAATCTGCACGATAAGTCTATTAGAAGTAAAGTCCTGCCTCGAAGAAATCGACTTACACAAGTTCATTTCCTAACTTGAACACATTAATTGGAACGATGAACGGACCTCGTGCAAAGTAAAAGTCGGATTTTTCGCAATGATGAAATTACTTCTCTAATGAAACGGCGGTAAATGAGCAGCAATTAGCATTCACCATACCTTATTTTATCGAATCCTCCTTTGCACTTAGCTGATTGGAAACAAGAAATATCAAGCTCGTTATGTTCGGCGAGTCGCCGTGTAATTTTCTACAACTTTCACATTCGGCAGATTTAAATTCCTTTGAAGTTTTCCGTCGATAACGGCAGGACGAAGTGATCCAAACCTATATCGAATTTTTCCGGCGCATCCACCAAAATTGTGTTGTTCGAGCGAGGTTTAACTATTTCATTTACATATAAGCAAGTTTCCTTGCGATATCCCCGCAACGCGGTTTTCTAGTTCGTAAGGAATTCTCCAATAACTTGTTGGTTCGATTGCAGGTCGGCCTTCGCAGTTGCAAAATTGCACGGTGTCGAACCAAACCTCGGATTCCCTCCAAGTCGATTGCATGGAAGGGTTTGATGGGGGTCTACCTCAGAGTTTCTTTATGGAAATCCTCGAACTGCCGTCGCTGCGGCCTAGGCTCAACGTTACAACCTACAGGACGCCACCGACATTCCTCGCTGATGGCTTAGATCCAGGGATGAGTTACAGAATAATGCTCTATGCAGTTAATGCCAAAGGAAAAAGTGAACCCACTACGATCGACCCCGTTACTTTCAAAGGCGTCGCTAAGTTACAGGGTAAGTTTTTCTCGACTTATATTGGATATAAATTGACTGCTCCAAAGTAACGAGTAAATTTAACATAAACACTTACGGGTAATTGTATGAGCGAATTCTCAAACTCTGATTTTCTAAATACAGTTTTTGATATAGCAGTCACTAACACGGAAATAGCTTTTTTTAATTTGACTTTGTTTGTTACCCAGGCAACATGATGTCGTCTTTTTCACGTGAATAAATGGCCATCAATTACGTCATAGTGACCAAAGATTTCACGTGATATTGACGAACCAATGACGGTCAAATGTCTCGTCCAGATGACGTCATTTTTTCTAACGAACTATTGACGTGATGTACTGACATACTAGAGTCGTCATTTTGTAACGAACTATTGACGTGATGTACTGACCTCTTAGAGAGGGCATTTATTGTCCATTTTAAGACGTTTTTTATATTTTGATTTTTAGAAAAAAATATGCAATAAATAAAACGCTGAAATAATTTTATATTTTTATATTGTTTACCTTAAATAAAATATTATAATTCGTTGTAATCACCAGGTAAATCCCAAAACAAAATATATATTAAAGTTAAAACAAATTAGAGTAAAAAAAAATAAATTTACTACAATTCTGTACAACCAACAATGAACTTCAATAAACAAATAAAAAAATATATGTCAATTAAATAAATTAAAGATAAACAAATCTACATACAGGTAATTAAGAGTATAATTAGTATAAAAAAAAGATAATGTACAATATATAATCAAAAATTAACGTTGCAATAAAATATGCTATTTAAAGAAAAATCTGTTTTAAAACACAAAGACATCTATTTAGTTACAAAGAATATTAAAAGAAAACTATTATAAATTATAAATCAGTCTTAAAAACACAAATAAATCTATTTACAAAAAATACAAAAAAAACTAGAATAAAGGGAAAAGACAATTGAATCGCATTGTTGAAATTACTTGATTTGAAAATGCACTGTAAAACTTTCTAATTCACGACGACTTGACTGTCCCCAACACACAAAAAAGTATCGTTAAGAATTAATTCTGTTTTAACAATCAAATTAATAACCTCTCAGTTTTTTAAGTTTGCCTCAATTTATTGCACTGAAAAGAAAAACCCGTGCAGAGTGCATGGATTAATGGAAATGCAATCATTTTTTCGTGTATGGGCAATAGCAAGCATTTGGCTATTATTAAATTTAAGGGATTACAGCTTAAAGCAGAAAACAAATTCTGCATTTTAAAAATGCTAAATTTACTTGAATCTAACGGATAATCGTAAAATGGTTGCATTGACAAAAACGTATAACCTATCAGGAAAATTTCGTTGTCAAAACTGTATAGTAAGTTACCAAAAAGTATCTTAGTATTACAGGTATATAATATCTAATATTATATTATATGTATATATGAATTGGAATTCATTGTGTTTCTTTAACTTACAAAGAAATCTGCTTATTCTAATAGGCAAAGATAATCTTGTAATTCGTCAAAATTTGTTTAGGTGTGGTCCTGGCGGCATAACTTCTATTTTTGGTTTCTTTTTCAGTTGTCAGATTTGATGACTTTTCCATGTTGGAGATTTTTTCACTCGTTTCCTTTAGCATTTCTTTCGTTTCGCGCATGTGTTTTGTATTTGTTTCAAATCTAGAATAAAATTATGTTCATTAGCATTAGTTCATAAAAAATTGCACTAACATACCTTTGCAATATTTTATGGAGCCTCATTTTCAAAAACAATCACCGTAAGTTCTTCACAATCAGTGGGAGTATCTTCAGTGATTAATGGTGGTCTTTCCAGCTTATCTGAAAAAACTGCTTTTGTTGTCTACGTACAGTTATCAAAAATAACAGAAACATGTAAAAATTAAAATGATTACTTTATTAGATATTAACTTACCTAGTGTAAATAAGTACAACCCACACTGAATCGCAGAAATTTTCACAAAACTGCGTTAAAAATGAAGTGAGTAACGGATACACGAGAAAGTTTCGGTGGTTGAGAACCAACTGGAAATATTGGAATCCTTCACTCTGAAATGCAATAAACATAAATACCGAAAAAAGGGAAAGTCCGAATGCACGCCTCAAACATCTGATGTATTGTATAGTAAATACGGAAGTTGAGCATTATTTTTTCATTAGATGAAATAAATTTAATAAAACTAAATATTAAATCACTCTCTAATTTTTTTGGTAACCATTATCACTTTATAAACGTCTTTATAAAATCAAAATTCGACGAAGGAATTCTTCAAAACCTTGTCCCGTTTAGGGACAATGGACAAAGAATTTTTATGACTTTGTTTGTGTCGCAGGGTCTTTTCACTATTATACGGTCAATCCCGTATGTTCTATTTACAATTTGCCAAGCAGGTACTTACAAAATAACACTTCCAGAGTAAACAAGTTTTCAGAAATAATAATTTTATTAGAAATTATTAGAATGAAAAAACTTGTCTTTGGTGTATTTCTAATAAAGCCGTTGTATTTTTTGCTCTAAATAATTATAATTAAGCATTATGAAGGCCACTTTTTAAAGAATACGACGACCCACATCTAATTGATCATATAATGTATAAAAAATGACGAAGAAAAGACGGCCTTTTGACGTCATTAATTGACGTCAGAAATAAGTCATAAAAATCTTGTCATTATCACCTGATTTTTTGGGCGAATGAGGTCGCCGACGAGTTATGACCAACAATTGACGTGAATCAGACGACAGTCTGCTGCTTGGGTAATATGTATAAAAATATAAACGTAGGTATACTTAAAAGATGTCTGTCTACTTTGGCACTTTACAAAGTGTGGAGTTTCAGAAAACAGTTTTATTTAGTTAGTTAAAACGAATAAATGATGACGTTACTTTTTCCTACAATTCAAATTTTGTAGAAGTAAACGATTGTAGTGTTCCTCTTCCAATAGTGGCATTCAAAAGATTAGACTTGATTTACCTACCTTAGTCCATTCAATCATACGATAAAAAGATTATCCTATGGAAAATTCGACGCTAGACCTGTCTTTTACACTATGTTATTCAGTAAATAGTACAACACTAGCACCGCGGTTGTCATTTGACTTCCTTCCAACTTTGTTGCGTCGTCGACACAAACATATGAACACACCAAATCTGTTGCTTCCGCATTTGCAGTAAATTAGGCCTTTTTCACTGGTGCGAACAACGTAAAGAACAAAACAAACTAAACGAGCAAACAAACACCGTTTTTCCGCTGCAGCGATGGCGTTTTTACTTCTTTACTTGTGTTTATGATTACTTGAACTGCGGAAGTGACGTGTACATATTTGCTTTACAACTAAGTTTTTAAATATTTGTAGGTATTTCATTTACAGGTAGTATTTCTAAGTAGTCAAGAACACTAATATATTGTAACACTGTTAGCTCAGACAGCTGAACTGTCGGTGAGCAGGGTGGTGACTAGAAAAATAAAAAATGAGAATTTGGGCGCCAAGTAACTTACCTTAGCCGTGTTAAGCCGACTTAAATTACTGAAAGTCTCTCACACTCTATTTGGATGTTCCTTTTATTATCACTCTGTTACACTAGGATAGGTCAAATTAAATCAGGTTACCTTTAATTAACTAAATTTAATGAAGAGTCAAAATGAGCAAATGAACAGTCGGCAGAATTTCTAAATTTGCAAAAATTTCGAACATAACAAAATTAACACTTAAGTTCCAGCCATCATAAGTTTGTATAAAAATTGTAAAATAGATTTTTTTTTTGTAAATTTGGTCGCATCGACAGCCAGGTCATTAGCAACCTTACATGGTGGTAAAACACACTTGGCTAAAAAAAAACATTCTAGATGCACTCAAACAGGTGAATATGTTTAATAATAATAATAATAATAATACTTTATTGTCCAACAGGAAAAATTCGTAATTACAGGACAACAATAAATATAAAATAAAATAATACAGTAATTCACTCAGCAATGAAATAACAAACGAAAATAATAATTAATAAAAACCTTATACTTTAAGAAACAAAAGTTCGGGATGGTACTTCCTAGAGCTTCGGCGAGGTTGGGTGATACTTGGAAATGTTGTACGTTGGGTTTGCCAGTGGGGACAATCGCATATGAGATGCTGGACAGTTTGACAGCATCCGCATTGCTGGCAAGTAGCATGGGGGGAGGGGGAGTGTGTCGTGTGTCCTAATCGCAACCGCGTTAAAGCGACTTGATCACGACGAAGTGGAAGTAGACAGTTAACTACCGGCTTAATGTGCTGCAATGTTGTAGGCGTAGAGGTCCAGTCTGCTTGCCACAGTCTGTTTGAATAAAACTTTCCTGTCAGCTTCTTCGTTTCCCGATATGTCAGTGTGAGATGGAACAATGATGAAACGGATGCCGCTACTGGAGAACATGGTCCACACTTCAACAATTTGCATGATCAACGGATTGATTGAATAAATATTTAGCAGTACGCTTGGACTGGCTAAAGAGTCGGTACAAATGCAGTATTGAGAGGCTCTCAAGGTGGTGATAATCTTACAGGCTTGAAGGAGAGCATAGAGTTCGCCCGTGAACACACTAGCTGGAGATGGTAGCCCTAATAGTCGGCGTACGAAAGGCCCAACAACGGCTGAACCCACGACGCCTTTGACTGATTTCGAGGCGTCCGTGTATAGAAAAGTCGAATCTGAGTAGGTTGGTTGTAAAGTATGAAATTCTGTCTGGATCACTGAAGCGGGTGTATTAGTTTTGGAGAACTGGAAGAGAGTGATGACTGGTCGGAGAGCTGGAATTAGCCAAGGCGGGGGTGCAGCGAACTCGTAGGGAAGAATAGCAGGGAAGGACGGTATTCCGAGAGTTTCAAGATCTTGTTGAAGGCGAATTGTGATGGGTGGGATTAGGTGTCGTTTGCGATCGGCGATCGGTAAATACATGCTGGAGGACAGGATTTCTGAAATTTCTAGAGGTATTAGTTGCGAATGATACCTGGAGGTACTTAAAATGGAAAAGAAGAGGCG